CTAGAGAAAAGGTATGTAATTTTTTAGAGTTTTTAACTTGTTATGCATATATGGTCAGCATATGTAAATGGATTGATATCTAACGTTTTAAGTTCATAATTAGGTATCTATTTTGCATCCATCTTGGGATTATGTGGAGGAGACTTGCAAAAATTTAATTTGGCAAGATATTTTGGTTAGTTTTGTTAACTCGTTAAATTATGTTAAGTTAAGTTAGATCCTAAACTTTGTTATCCTAATTTATTTTGCTGTTTTTGTATAATCACTTCGATATTGTTAACTCTGAACAAGTTAGGAGAAAAGTCATGTCATCTATTGCCAAAATGTGGAGGCAATTCAAGTCGACATTGACTTCAAAATGGATATTTAATGAGCAAGCCGTTAGCAAAGGATTAACTCCTTGTCAGCGTTATGGCATAGATGAGGAGACTTGGAAGAAGTTTGTCGGAGTAGGACTCGGTCCACAATGGGAGGTATGTTACTATTTAAACACTTTAGTATGTTTCCATATTGTCTTATTAATTTAGCACATTGTAATATGATATTATGTTGCAGGAGAAGCGAATAAAAGGAAAGGAGATTCGGAGGCTGAATGTGGCCCCCACTGTCTCGTCTCGTGGGGGTATGATTTGTTGACGCAACGCATGATGAAGGAGAAGGCTAAACTCGAGAAGCTGAGTTAGCCTCTTCGGTGTAAGCCAGGAAGAAATTTCCCCACCATCTCCTCCAAAGCGTCATCAAAAATGGAAGAGGACTCGCCAAAAGCCCTCCGGTGAAATGACATCGAGAGGAGGCCCGCTTGATTGTCGAGCGGATTGTAAGTCAAATTTGTTTCTTTCAACCTCATTAACCATGCTTTGTCATTCATCAATTTTTTTACAATATATAATGCTCAATTGTAGGATTCTTTAGAGGAGCAGTATACACGGGGAACATTCATTCCCGTGGTCGTGAAGATATCTTAACTACTCGCTATTGGACGCCCGAACACCCGGGCGTGTTCGTGCTTGTTGGAGCTGGTGTGGGTATTCGAGCATATTTTGGAGCTCCATCATCGGACCATACCCACACCACATCATTGAGCCGCAGAAGATGGCGAAGTTGGAGGAGAGTCTAACGGCGAAGCCGAGACCAGCGATGGTTGAAGAGTCGACAGCGACGCTGACACCAGCCATTACCGCACGAGTTTAGGAGGAGATGATGCGTGTATTTGGTTCAAGTCTAGCATCCATAGGTGTCACACAGCCTACCCACCCACCTATGGATGTTCCTCCTCCATTTGCCGCACGAGTTAGCACTAAGGGTAGTTGTGCTGAGCCAAATACTGTTGATGAAGAGCTTCCTGCTACTAATCAAGAGGTTGTTGTTGTTGTTGCAGACACTGACCACTCACGTATGTGTGGATGATATCTTCATGACAAAAATTCATGTGCATATTAATAATTAATGTCTTATTTTTGTGTAATCAGGTCAGTGTGAATTTTATGTTAGTGAGGATGGATCTGAACCACGATTGGTGGCGGTTGGTTCAATTGAAGAGGGGGCCTCTATAATTCATAGTGTGCCTTTAGCACCTAACTTGGCCAAAGTGGTCATTGAAGAGGTTCGAGATGCTTATGCTCTTGTACCTGTGCCCACAGACGAGGTGATGACAGTGGGACAGGCCCTCCAAACCTTCATTGCATGGCCTAGACATCTAATCAGGCCTATTTTGAAAAAGGTTTGCATATACTTTCTGTTAATTATGATATGTAGTCTCGTATCTGTTTTTTATTATTTCTCAAGTCAATGTTATTTTATGTAGGATGTTCAGAAGCCACCCCGGTTGCCTAAGCTGGTTCCTACTTCCCATACTAGTAAAGGTAAGGAAGTAGATGTCCCGGAAAATCCAATTTTTCAACTACTATCTCGTTGTCCCACAGTTGTATATTCAATCTTTTCAAGTGAAGTGGGATGTTGATAAGTTAGGGGTAGACAATAAGAACTTTCCCCTTTACATTGACCACACCGATGTTGTGGAGATAGCAGTTGGCAATCAGTGTCTAAACATAGCAGTGTTACAATTTTGGACAATGTAAGTATTTATTTTTATTTACTAATTATGTTATTTGAAGTTATCGTCATATTTAATGTACATTGAACTGGCTACTTTAGGATGATGAATGAATTGTCGGAGCAACAACGCACCCAAGATGTGTATGGATTTTTTGAGCCCCAATCCATACAAAAATCAGGAAACAAGAGAGAAGAAGTTCAAATATACATCCAAAATTGGATGATGAAGTCAAGGAAGAAAGTTTACTTGGGTGCTTACTTCCATCAATAAGTATTTAAGCGTATGAAATTATTCGCATTAAATTTTATAGTGTATTGTATGTATCCTAACTTTTTGTAATGTAAGCAGAAATCATTGGCAGTTGTTGGTTGTTTGCTCAAAGCAGAATGTTGTGGCTTGGTTCTGCTCATTGGGCAAGAAACCTGATGCAGATATTAAAAACATTGTAAACAGGTACACATTCTTATAATAATTTAAACAATTATTACTTGTTTTGTTACTTAATTGTTTCATTATATCTTGTATTGCACAGTGCATTTAAGGTTTGCAATACAATTGATGGAATACACACAAGCAAAAGCACGACTCCAAATTGGATTTTTGTTAATGTAAGTCATTTTATATTTATGTATTATATCAATCATTTTAGATGTCAAATTAATATATTATTTTTTGTAGTGTAATAGGCAACCAGGATCTTATGAGTGCGGATATTATGTTATGCACTGGATGTGGCTGATTGTTGTTAGCAAGACTGAGGATACATGGAATCAGGTTTGCTTAAATTTAGTATTCAATAAAATTAAATATTGTGTCATTGGATACTCTGTTAAATTATCTTTTTTCTTGTAACAGGTATTTTCAGACAGCGAAGCATTGCCCATAGAGACCATTGACGATATTAGAAACACCTGGGCCGATAAGTTTGTTAAAGTTAGAAGTAGGCAAGTTTAGTTATTAATTTAGTAGTTAGTTTAGTAGTTACTTTAGTAGTTAGTTTAGTAGTTAGTTTAGTTAGTTTACTAGTTAGTTTACTAGTTAGTTTATTAGTTAGATTAGTAGTTAGTGTATTTGGTAGATAAGTAGTTGGATACATATTTATAATTTTGGATACAATTTTATTTTTGGATGCACATTCAATTAGTTTATATCTTGTACATTGTCTGCCTGGGTTGTATTCAAATTTGCAGGTATATATTGTATACAAACATTGGGATACCCTGTATAAACAAACCGGCCATTTAAAAAAAAAATAGACTTTCTACGTCGGTTGTGTCAATAACCGACGTAGAAAATGATAATATCAACGTCGGTTTTTACCATAACCGACGTAGTTAAATCCCAAATGCAATGACGTGTATATTCAGCGTTTCTACGTCGGTTATTCATACCCGACGTTGAAAGTCCAAACTTTCAACGTCGAGTATGAATAACCGACGTTGAAAGTGTAGACTTTCAACGTCGCCTGATACAATGTCGGTTATATAACCGCCGTTGAAAGCCTTATATAACCGACGTTGAAAGTCATATCTGTAGCAGTGAACAAAGGGTCACAGTACCCATAACAAAGGGTCACAATACCCTTAACAAAGCTAAGCTTCACAGTACCCTTAACAAAACTAAGCTTCACAGTACCCTTAACAAAGCAAAGCTTCACAGTACCCATAACAAAGCAAAGCTTCACGGTACCCATAACAAAGCAAAGTTTCACAGTACCCATAACAAAGCAAAGTTTCACAGTACCCTTAACAAAACAAAGTTTCACAGTACCCTTAACAAAACTTACATTACCCATAACAAAACTTACAGTACCCTTACAAAACTTACAGTACCCTTAACAAAATTTACAGTACCCTTAACAAAACTTACAGTATGAGTATATTATACAACTCACCTTAACATAAAAATAACTTTTTAATTATCCTTTACCCATATAAAAAAAAAATACGTACGTACAAAATAATATACAAATAATATAGGGAAAAATGGCTTCAGCAGTCACCAGTCACCAATATGCACATACAAACTAATATTATAAATAATATAATATAATATATGAAACCTCGTGTGTTTAACACGTGCTTCTCTACGCGCAAAGTTTATCAACTTTACGTTTATCATTCTTCCATCATAATTATAACATTTTATCATAACATCTCATCATAATTATAACCTACAATAAAACTAATTTCATACATGATTCACCCTAACCCTATCACGTCATTTGTCTTTTCAATTAAAATCAGGGTTCATTCACGCATAGGGGCTATAAAATTGGTTTCAATTTGAACTTGAAAACATAATTAGGGTTTATTCTTTTATTTAATTTTGAGAAAAATAAATTTGGGAATAAATTAGGGTTCGTACTAATCTGATAAAGAAATCCCTAAATTCATAATTAAGGTTTATCTTAATTTGGGAAAAAATTAATATTTGAGAAAACTTTCATACAAGGAAAATCATAAATCTAATAATCGGTGCTCTCGATACCACATGTAAAACATTATGTAATTTTCCTACGTTCTTAATTTATTATGGAAAATTATTAATTTTCACAATATAGATTTTCACAATATAACATACATCAATACATGAATCATAATAAGAAGACTAACATTGATCCATGAGAATCTATTCTTTAATCTTTTCGTTCTTTAATCTCATTTTCCCAATCTATCTCTTTGTCTTTCTTTCTTTTCTCACGTTTTCTTGATAGTTTATCATGAAAAAAAACCTTATGACTCGAGCATGAACTCTTATTCCATTCAATTAACCAACGTTCATCAAGTTGGTTACCTTAAGTTAATATTTTATTTTATCTTTATTTTATTCTAACTTCACGTAATAACTAATAAGTCCTAATATTTTATTAAATCATATTTGATCTCGGTATTATATTTCACATTAGTCAACATTAGTAACGTAATACAATAAATTAATTAAATTAATTCTTATCTAATATTCCACTATCGATTCGAAAGAACAATTCCAAGGAAGTGCTATCTTTGATGTTTTCAACCCCTTCAGGGAGACCTACTTCGGCTGCAGGGAATGTAACCAGTTGAGTTCTGATGTGGTATCCACGGGTGAAGTCTTGGAAAGGCAAAGCATTAGCAGGGGTAGTGATAATGGTAACACTAACACCATGCCTGGCAAATAACCTTGCAGTGTCTATCATGGGGTTCATATGGCCAGGAGTTGGATATGGAAGAAAAATGACATGCAATTCATGGTGGGGTTGAGAATCCATTGCTTTCTCAATGTATATGAGATTATACTTCTTCGGGAGGTGCTTCTATGAAAAGAACGAAGTGTTGAAGATAAGGTTGGCGCGAACCTAACAGATGAAAGGAGGAGACAACACTATTCATTTTAAATATTAAAATTAAAATAAAAAATATTATATTTTTATTATATTATTAAAATATATAAATATATTATAATATTATAATTTAAATTATAAAAATTAATTAGTTAAATTAAAATTATTTATTATAGTTAATTATTTTAATATATAAATATAAGAATTTTTAATTTATTTAATAAATATATTATTAATTAATAAATATAAATTAAAAATTATTTATATACTTAAAGATATATTTACAAAAATATACATATAATAAAATTTATATAAAAAAATTATTTATAAATGATTCATTTTCATTATATAAAAAAAAATGAATGATAAAATATTCATTTTCTGTAAACTTATTTACTCTCTAACCGAATAGATTAGAATTTATAACCCGTTTTCCTGTATCAAACCATCTACCCTATTTTCAGCATAGGGATGAGACTTGAGGAGACGCTGAGTACGGAACTGCCCCGTTTTATGTGAGTACTTGGAATCTGATGACGAAAGCAGAAGAACCACGTGAAAATAAAATTAAATGTGACAGAAGAAATTAGTTGGAAGAAAATGATAGCCGAAGCATTCTCGTCCACAAAATTCTTGTAAAATTTCTTCCTTTACTCACTCTGAACCTAGACTTGTATTTTCCAAAAACGCGACATAACACTTGGTCTTGATTTTTTTTTTTTTACTGTTTTTATCTTGTATTTAGTTTTATGGTTTTTTTACGCAATAGTGATTTTTTTTTAACTTGTGAAAATAGGTGACAAAAATGAAGAAGTTGTGTTTCACGATACAATAAAATTTTTAATATTTGCTTCAAAAGAAATAGAAATCGTAATAATAATTATAATTTTTATTTTTTAATAAGTTTTGTATTTTAGTATATTTATTAATATTATAATAATTATATTAATAAAAAATATATATTAATAATTTAAATATAAGAGTATTATAATAACTATGTTAATAAATAATTATAATAATAATAGTTATTAATATAATTCTAATAATATGTATAATAATAAATAATAAAATGTTAATAATTAGAACAACAAAATATTTATAATGATAAAAACACTATTAGAAGATGAACAAGATATTCTATGTCTCAATAGACTCAATGATCTAAGTAAAAACACCTATGTTTATCTTTTTCTACTGAAATACAATCAGAGCTTAATAGGATGGTGATGTCTATTCAAAAAGATTTTATTATTCTGAGTATGGGCCAAATTCATTATATGATTTTAGAAACTGTTGATAATTATACAAAGTTCTTTTATGACCTATGATTCAGAAAAGTAAATTTAGCAAAACCTGCCAGTAATAAATATTATTATTATAATATTATTATTATTATTATTATTATTATTATTTTATTTTATTTTATTTATTAATGTTACTATTAATTATAATCATCATTTCTTTTAAAATATTTTTTCAAATTTTTATTTAAATGTACTCAATTTTTTTATTAACTACATATATATATATATATATATATATATGTTTTTTTTTCTCGTTCAATAAATTTTTCATCTTATTTAATAAATTCATGTAAAACAGTAAGTGTCCCAATTACTTGAAGTTGTTCTCGTAGTTATAAAAGCAAAAACATTATAAAATCTTCTTGCTCTTGGTACTAATTTGTTAGGGATGCAGAAGTTATACGTTACATAATAACGAGAGAAAAAACAAGAAAAAGAAAAATCATTGCATCAAAATATATTTAATTTATATATTAAAATATATTTTGTCACAATTTTTTTCTTAAACTCCGAAAGTAACCATGATCATAACATAATAAGATGTAATTTTCCGTTTGACAACTTATTAACTTTAAAGGAAGCAAATACTTGATTTATTTAAAAAAAATGGAATTAAATTATATTAAAAACACTTAACTATTTGAATATTTTCTATAATTTTATTAATTAGTTAATATATCTTAAGATTACCATTTTTAATCACATTCTTAAGTAATCTTCTTATTAATAGTAAGATCAAAGTGAATAAATAAATAAACAATATAACTAAAATGAAAAATAATAATTAGAAGTACAAATAACTAATTAAATATATGTTTATATTAAAATTTACAAACTTAATTGTTAGGAAAAATAGATATTTTAGAAACAATCCACATTTTACCTCTGTAAAATTAAATATACATATAGCATTTTAATAGTAAACAAATTTATAAGAGTAACTAAACACGTCATAAAACTCAAATTATTGTGTAAATTAGTTTGAAACATCAAAGTAGAAAAATCAAACATAACTTTATTCATCATTCTAAGAACTCCCTTACAAGAGATACAAACATGCTATGAGTTGGCACACGCGGTAGCCACAATAGTTGCTTTTCCCTAAACATTCAGTAAACAAAGTAGCATGTTAACATTTTCCTCATCAAAATATGCAAATGACGTAGACAAAAAATAAACAACTAACTTAGCAGCACAACGAAACAGAGTACCTAACTGAATCCCTTATTTATCTAAAATAATTAGTTTCACTTATACTTGGAAGTAGTTCATCCATCTAAATATCAAAAGGCTTCAGAAAATCACCAGATGCACCACTTAGAGCCACAGATTGCTCCTCCATTTCAACCATCTAACCTGCTTCTGCTATGTGCTTTTGATATCTTCAATGATTTAAGGTCATCTATCAACTGCATCAAGTTGTTGTAAGAATCTCCACCCTTCTCAATAGTCTTCTTGGAAGCATCACAAAGTTTTCTTGCTCTCCTCCTCGTTTCTCTTCCCTCTTCTTTTTCCATCAGCTGTACCACAGCCTTGGCAATCTCTTCCCTTCCCACCACATGAGCCATGTCTTTTGATGCCCAAAACTTATTTTCTTTAACTCCCACCGGAACTCCAACCTTCAACACATCAACTAGCAACCTCTCATTGTAAAATTGCTCTGCAAACATAGGCCATGTGATCATTGGCAATCCAGCACTCAAGCTTTCAAGAATGGAGTTCCAACCACAGTGAGTCACAATGCCTCCTATAGCAGGGTGATTCAATATCAGCAGCTGTGGTGCCCAGTTCCAAATGATAAAACCCTTCTTGCTTTCTTTCATCTTCTCCTCAAACTCTTGCAGGAAACTGTCTTCATTCTCGCTTCCTTCCTTTTTCCTGATGACCCAGATGAAATTATGACCACAATGTTCAAGCCCATGAGCCAGTTCAACAAGTTGAGCATGAGAGAGCCTAGTGAGGCTTCCAAAGCTTACATAAAGTACAGACTCATCCTGCTTAGTGTTAAGCCAGGTTAGGCACTCTGGCTCTTCTTTAAGGTCCTCCTTCTGTCCCCTATTGACCTTTGGTCCGTCATCCTTGTTAACCCAGGCTGACACTGGTCCAATACTCCAGGATTTGATCCCCACTATACTCTTATGAACTTGCTTATACTCACTTTCAAGTTCATCAAAACTATTATAGAGTGCCCCATAACTTCTGCTCTCTGATTCAAACATTGGCACAAAAAAGCCTGATATTTCATTCGTAATTCTTTCCCACTCTGGTAGCTGCAGACGGGTCATCTCTATTCCATGAGGAAACCCAGGAATTGTAAACTTGTCGGTATCAGAGACTAACCCCTCATGAGGTCTGTGCCTCAAGATAGAATGAGTAGCACAGTCAGACAAGTAGCTGGAGCTGTAAAAGAAGATTCTTGGAATACCCAGTTCTGACGCTGATTCCACTGTCCAAGGATAACACATATCACTCACTATACAATCTGGATGCAGATCTTGAAACAGAAGCTTAATTTGATCTTTGAGCTTTGATATTCCACTAGCGATTCGATAGAACAGTTCCATGGAAGTGCTATCTTTGATGTTTTCAACCCCTTCAGGGAGACCTACTTCGGCTGCAGGGAATGTAACCAGTTGAGTTCTGATGTGGTATCCACGGGTGAAGTCACAATCTATGGCTTTTTGGAAAGGCAAAGCATTAGCAGGGGTAGTGATAATGGTAACACTAACACCATGCCTGGCAAATAACCTTGCAGTGTCTATCATGGGGTTCATATGGCCAGGAGTTGGATATGGAAGAAAAATGACATGCAATTCATGGTGGGGTTGAGAATCCATTGCTTTCTCAATGTATATGAGATTGTATTTCATGGGGAGGTGCTTCTATAAAGAGAACGAAATGTTGAAGATAAGGTTGGCGCGAACCTAACAGGTGAAAGGAGGGGACAACCCTATTCATTTTAAATATTAAAATTAAAATAAAAAATATTATATTTTTATTATATTATTAAAATATATAAATATATTATAATATTATAATTTAAATTATAAAATTTAATTAGATAAATTAAAATTATTTATTATAATTAATGATTTTAATATATAAATATAATATTTTTTAATTTTTTAATAAATATAAATTAAAATTATTTATATAATATAAGATATATTTTTATAAAAATATATATATAAAAATTATTGATAAATGATTATTTTCATTATGTTAAAAAATTAATAATAAAATATTCATTTTCTGTAAACTTATTTACTCTCTAACTGAATAGATTAAAATTTATAACCCGTTTTCACTGTATCAATCCATAAAAGATGAGACTATCCTATTTTTTAGGAGATCAGATCTGAGCCTTGAGGAGACGCTGAATACGGAACTGCCCCATTTTATGTGAGTACTTGGAATCTGATGACGAAAGCAGAAGAACCACGTGAAAATAAAATTAAATGTGACAGAAGAAATTGGTTGGAAGAAAATGACAGCAGAAGCATTCTCGTCCGGAAAATTCTTGTAAAATTTATCCCTTTACCGACTCTGGACCTAGACTTGTATTTTCCAAAAACGTGACATAACACTTGGTCTTGATCTTTTTTTTCTTTTTTTTTTACTGTTTTTTTCTTGTATTTAGTTTTATGGTTTTTTTACACAATAGGATTTTTTTTTTAATTTGTGAAAATAGGTGACAAAATGAAGAAGTTGTGTTTCACGATACAATTTTTTTTTAAATATTTGCTTCAAAAGAAATAGAAATCGTAATATTAATTATAATTTTTATTTTTAAATAAGTTTTGTATTTTATTATATTTATTAATATTATTAATAATTATATTAATAAAAAATATAAATATTAATAATTAGAAATATAAGAGTATTATAATAACTATGTTAATAAAATAATTATAATAATAATAATCATTATTAATATAATTCAAATAATATTTATAATAATAAATAATAAAATTTTTAATAATTAGAATAATAAAATATTTATAATGATAATAATAAATATTATTATTATAATAATTTAATATTATTATTATTATTTTAAATATTATTATAATTATATTTATTTTGTTTTTTATTAACTACATATATAATGGTTTTTTTTTCTTCTCGTTCAATAATTTTTTTCCAATGACACAAAATAAATCATTATAAAAACTAATATCTTTTATATATGGTTATAGATAATATTAATAAATATAATAATAATAATAATAATATAAGTAATTATTATAATAAATAAAATTTTTAATAGTACACAATATTAAATATAATTTTAGTTTATAATCATTAAATAATAAATATTATTACAATAGTAATATTTCTAGTAATTTTAATAATGTAATAATATTTATTATTATATTATTATAATTTATAATAATAATAAAAATAATAATAATAATAGAAATAATTATAAGTATAGTTATTTTATTAATAATTATTATTATTATTATAATATTTTTCAAGTTATAATTAATTTTTTTATTTTAATTATTATAAAAATAATAAATATTATATTATAATATTAAAAATAATTATAGTTATTATAATATTAATTAAAAAACTTATTAAAAATAAAAAGTAGAAATCATTTTATCAAATCAGACTTCTATATAATCTAAAAAAATAGATTATTTATAAATCCTATCAATTAGATTATATAAAAATCTTAATAGAACAACTTCTAATTTTTAAAAACAAATTAAAAATAATTGTGCTATGAAACATAATTTCTTTGAGTGTGGGTTTTAGAGTACGACTTACACAACTTCATAATTTTAAAAAAAAATTTATCTATTTTAATAAATTTTTTTAAATAGTCCTCTGTAAACAAATTTAATGTACTAGTATTAATATTATATTCTATCAAATATAAATAGTAAGAATTTGATTTATTTTTTGTAATTTATCTATATTTATGATACCTTAAATAATTTTTTATTTACTAGTTTTCAATATAAAACTACTCATTTGGTTAAATAATCTATCAGACAAAAACATTTATAACAATTCCAAATTTAACTAATTTTGTCTCTATTTTTGTTTTTTCTATCAAGTTTCGATTTATATTTTACTTTAGATTGATTTGCATTTAAATAGTCCTAAGTTCAACAATTGGGTTAGTTTTGAATGGTGTCTATCACTAGTATTAATCCGATCCAATCTAAAGTAAATATTTATATTAATAAAATAATTTATTAACGTTGTTTAGAACATGTATTATATTATTGTTGCATAAATGTTTATGTGATAATGTTGAATTTAGATTGTTATAATTAATTTTATGTATTTTTTATTTTGGTATAAAGATTTTTTATATTAAAATATATTATTTTAAAGTAATTCATTTTATTACTAAATTCATATTTTGAATTAGTAGATTAAAAATACATGATCATCTTTTTAGGTGTAGGTGTTATTTTTAAAAATACATGATCGTCTTTTTGAAATTTAAGAATTATCTTTTTTGTGAGCATAACTTTTCTATCTACTTTGAGTTGTTCTCAATTTTTTCTTAATCATCCTGACTTTCTCTATGGTATGTTTAATCATGTCAAGGCTTAAGATTAAATTTTCTTTAGCCTTAAACTAACATAAAGGTGTTCTACATCTTCTTCCATACAATGCTTCATAGGGTATCATACTTATGTTAGTACACAAACTCTTCTAGTACATAAACTCTCAATAAATTCTCAAAGGATTGAATGATCCTTTTAAACTGCCCATATATTTGAAGATTATAAGTTGAACTAAGATAAAGTTTAGTCCCTAAGACTTGATGTAAACTCCTCCAGAATTTAGAAGTGAACCTAAAATCCTTATTAGATACAATACTAGATGAAACTCTATGTAATATCACAATTTATCTTATGTTTAATTCAATCAGTTTCTCCAATGAATACCTATTGTTAATGGGTAAGAAGTGATCAAACTTTGTTAACCTATCTGCAATAACTCATATGGAATCATATTTTTAAATTTTTCATGGTAGGCCTATAACAAAATCCATTGCTACATTATTCTCATTGTTACACTATCTTATTTCCATTCAGGTATATCTAAGGAGTGTAGTATGATGAGTCCCTAGTTGCCCTGGAGGTGGGAGATGTCATCCCTAGGAGGATCATTAGGAGCATGACTATAAGGGAGGTTTCCTCTTCACACATTTTTTTCATGTTCTCCACACTCTTAGAGGTAATTTTGATGGGATAGGATGAATTTAACATATTTGGGCCATGGGAACTCTTAACCTTTAGGTTTAGGTTAAATTTATGTCTTCTTTTGAAGTTCCATTTAGGTCCCTTCCCCAAAAGCCTATAAATAGAAGGCTCCCCTTCATGTAATTAAGTTTAACATTTATGACAAGCGTACCAATATTATCAATCGCAGTATAGTATTTCAATTAAATAAAAGTCGATCCCACGAGGAACGGTTTCACTGGAAATTCCAAGTCATATGCTTACTAAGTATATTGACACAAAATTGGTTTTTCATAAATATTTGGATTGAAAATAAATTACAAATAACTATAAAGTATTTTTAGAAAAGATGAAATATAATAACTTAGGATTTGATCAATTCATTTTCCCTCCTTTGTAGAATGGCTAGGTCAAATTCATAACATCAATTAACATATCAATGTCGATGTTATAACATCCCAATTTCTGTAATTAATTATTTGCTTAAGTTCCTACAAATTATTATATAAACATTATGTAAAATTTTTATGAGAAGAAAGGATATATTAAAAAAAATGATAATAATAATAAAAAAATGAAAAGAGAAAAAAGAGAAGGTTGGTGATGTATCGTGGCCTTAATACATTAAGGCAGTGAAGAATTTAATTGAGGCGATGAAGAATTTAATTAAAATTAAGGCGGTGAAGAAACTTGGAGAAAAAATTAAGTTGGTGGAGCGGTATATAAATAGAAGAAACCGTGTAGGAAAATCATGCAAAATCAAAAACCCCTCCAACACCAAAAGCTACGACCAATTTGGAGAATAAGAGAGAGACACCAAATTGAGAAGAAAAATAAGAGAGAAAGGAGGAGAGTCAGAAGATCTTAGAGAAGTAAGGTATGGGTTAGATGTTTAATTTTATCATACGAATGTCTGATTTTGAAGATAATTGATAATTGCTTCATGTTTTGCAAAATTTGAAATGTTGATGAAATTCTTGAAATTAAGGATGAATTACATGATATAAATTGTTGTTTTTGAATCAAATAGGATAGGTTTCATGTTTAATTTGAGTTTGGAATTAGTTTGATTGATTGATACGTGAGAATTTGAAATCTGGAGAAACTGAATTTGGTCACTAGGTGAAGATGAAGAAAAAGGATATGGTGAGAATTTTTTAAAAAGATTAATTTTTGAAATTAAGGATAAATTATATATTAAAATAATTATTTTTAACTTAAATTGAATATGTTTAGGGTTTAATTTGGATTTGGAACTAGTTTAGTTGTCTGAAACTGAAAAATTTGAAATATGGACGGTTGGAAATGACGTACTGGAAGTGAGTAAGAATAAAGGGACAAGGTGAGAATTTTTGACATAAATGGAATTTTAAAAAATATTAAGGGTATAATGGTAATTTAATAGCAATTTTAGGACATGGATGAAATAATAGAAAATGTTCAAGGGTAAAATTATCATTTTATAACCTAGGGACATAAATAGAATTTTGAAAAAGGTTAAGGGTATAATCGAGATAAAGTCAAATAGTATATTACCACCTTTTTGTTTACTAGAAAAATGACTCAGTACACGTTCAAATTTGAGGATAGTGCCTTCATCAAAGTTATAGGTTATTGTCTTGTCTTTCCAACACAATTGGAATCATCTTAAAAGA